TTTACGACCACGGCTTGTCAATACCATTGCAAAATTGATCACTTTAAGTCAGGGTCCATTGCGGATATCTGTTTTTCCACTAAGCAAAATCAATATCGTTTCCAGAAACACAATTTGGCAGCTGCTGTTTTCTTTTTCCAATAACAATGCATGTGCAATATATAGTATATTATCATGGTTTTACCATGGACTTGTACTGGTACAATATAGTACTGTAATACTTTCTACACAATTCAATGTATGGAAAATCTGTAATACTTCAAAAATTGTACAAAGGGATACTGTTGAATTATATTTTCCTTAAATCAAATACATTGACATTGTAGCTGGGATAAATTTTAATTTTTCAGAAGAAAACATTTTTAGAAAAGTCTTAAAATTTCTAAAAATGTTCTACTTTACAGTACACCAAAATGTCTACTTTACAGTTGAGTTCACCAAAATGTTCTACTTTACAGTGCACCAAAATGTTCTACGTTACAGTACACCAAAATGTCTACTTTACAGTTAAGTACACCAAAATGTTCCACTTTACAGTACACCAAAATGTTGTACTTTACAGTACACCAAAATGTTCTACTTTACAGTACACCAAAATGTTCCACTTTACAGTACACCAAAATGTTCTACTTTACAGTACACCAAAATGTTCTACTTTACAGTACACCAAAATGTTCTACTTTACAGTACGCCAAAATGTTCTACTTTACAGTACACCAAAATGTTCTTCTTTACAGTACACCAAAATGTTCTACTTTACAGTACACCAGGCAACTACGTTATCTTATGTAACACCATGTAGTGAACTGTGGCCCCACTGACCTGGGGCACTAAAAATAACATCTGTATATCGCATAGTGTGCAACTTTTTTAGGTCACAATGGGTAACTTACAGGGAACAGTAGTTCACTGAAAGTCACCCTTTTTGAGAATCGGCCTTTTAGACTAGAGATGCTTTTAATGAAGACAAGGAAAACTGTACTGTACATTGTTCTGTGTTCTCACTATAGGCTCAGTTTGAGTGTAGGGGCCCCCTACATGATTTGACCCCCCCTCTGCTGTGATTTAGGGGGACCCGCAAGCCCTTTTCCGTACAGCGTAATCGGCCGTTTTAATTCTACGTAGAGCTTAGACGGACCGCTCGGCGCATTTTGCGTAGAGTGTATTTGCCGTTTTAATTCTACGTAATGCGTTGTGGCCACTTGGAATTTATCGTAAAGCGTAATCGAGAAGATTCCGAATTCAGTGCAAAGCGTTGTCGAGACCCCCCCCCCCCCTTGCAGGCCCCCATTTAGCCCAATACACTGTCTTTCATGAGTTAAGCCTAAAGGCCGGTGTTTTCTTTGGGGGAGAACCTTGTAACCGTTCATAAATCTTTTCAAAAAATGGAATTTTAGTTTAGAGTAAAGCTAAAACATAACAAAAACATGACTTTACAAAATTTGTCCCTCAAAAAGCCAAAAGTTATGTTTCGAGGGTTATGAATATGAATTTACCATGATCATGTCTTTGGGACTCAATGCACGGCTTGTAATTTGCAGAGAAAGCTGTCTTTTGTACGACGCTGTGAAAAATTTCTGGTGAGAACACTGTTGTTCCACTGATAAGCATACTAACCATTGCCGCCGCATAACTGAGATTTAGTACATATGTTTTATCAAAGGCACACCTAGACTGGTAACCATTCTCCACATACCAAGCAGCTTAGCTAGGCATGTTTTACCTGCCCCTGTACTAGTCCTGCTATACCATACAATACTGGCTTCTTTCTAACAGCCTGTCTTAAATCCAGCTACAAGTCACAAAACATCAACCCACAGGATAGAGGCAAATGGCGAGCTGCGATATCAAGCCTCAGTGTTAGTGTGCAAGCGCGTCTAACCCTCGGAAAACGGGGGAACAACAGACGTTAAACCGGACAGTGTGCGAGTGTGTTCCCAGGTGCTCATGACCTTGATTTGAATACTGCCGTTCTATAGTGAAGTTATAACTGAAACAAACGCCATGATTCCTTGGAAATTGTACCGTAGAAGTACTTAGGACCTTACAAAAAATACAATGGTACGGTCAACACATAATTAAACAGTCAAGCCCTGCTTGCTTACATATAAATCTTACCTGTGCAATTTGAGCATTCGTTAGGCCACACCAATTTAATTTCTTGGTTAACGGATTTTTCTAGAAAAATAATGGAGCGGGCGGGCGAAAAAAAAATAAAAATAAAAACTGGCCTAGGCATCCTATTATGGCCCAAAATGGTACGATAGGAGCCATGAAGTCAACACACCAGGCTGGTTCAAAATTTAAACTATGAATTTTGAACTTTTAATGATACTACTGCATTGAAAGATGGAATGACTGTCACAAGTAGTAAGAAAAGGACTGTTTTCAACTGTTCAAGGCAAAAGATGATCATTTTGCAGTTGATTCTGAATTTTTATTTTATTTGCAAACCAGAAAAAAATTGAAGCGGCGAATCCGTTAACCAAGAATTAAATTGGTGTGGCCTAATAGCCACTTTCCAGACAACACTTATTAAATAGTTGAATTAAA